AAGTTTAATTCGGTGAAACATGTACAGAGACAATAACTTTCATTCACGAAGAGAAGTATTGAGAGTAATGTCTCAGAAAATCATGAGTCAGGCAAGCATAAGCTTATTTATGTTTTAAGCCAGCTTCCCGGTGTTCGCTCTTTTTCAAGATGAACTCGAGGCAAGAAAATCGCTCAGAGCTTTCTGTTTACAGCCAAAATCATAACTAAATAATCTTCGGAACCTTTTCTTTGAATTTGCGGGTCAAAAAATGTTTAAAGGCTTTTTACACCTGATACTATTGTAGGTTAGATCATTGCTCGTGTTTTAACTTAAGCCGCATAAACCATACGCTCGACTTCAGGAAACAAACCGAAAAAAAAAAAACATCAAAAACAATAATGGCTCAAGCTTACCAGTCGAGATGCTGCTTCTGAAGGTCATCAACTGTTCCAGAATCGCTTGAGACTTTTCAACCTTGCGGTATCCTTCAATTTCCACTAACAAACATAAATATACCAATGGCGGGGCATATTTCGTTTTAGTAATTTGAAAAATAGTTTGAACAAGTTTGTGGTCTAAACTGCATCAAAGGTAAAGGTAAAAATGTTTGTTAACGAAAGCTGGATTGCTTCGTACAAAAAAAGAAAAAAAAACAGCTTCTTCTCTTCACATCTACCTCCTTTGTTTGTTTGCGCGGGAGAAAAGAGTTTGCAGCCACGGCAATTTCGCGCCAAAAACAGGGTGTCTCGCTTGGGTCCAATCTTCCATGATCCAATTGTTTAATCTTGCGTCGATATCATTTCATCGTATATTGATCGATCAAAAGGAAAATGGTCCATTTAAGGCCCTGTTTACATGGAGGTGGGAGACCCCAGGTAGGTGAGGTAACCCGCCTGTCCATATAATCTCTCATTCTAATGTGATCACGTTTACCTGTTAGGCGGGGTGACCCGCCACATGTTACCTCACCCACCTGGGTCCCCCCACCTCCATGTAAACTGGCCCTAAGATAAGACAAAAAGAACATCTTTCACTTCGAAAAAGTACATATTCCAGAACATTTTAAAAAATAATTTGGAAACAGCAATTACCATGATTACCAGCCTGTGTTCGGTATCATCGTATAAATCTCCTCCAATCAGTATTAGCTAGTATTTGAATACAGCTTTTTAATTTCCTTTTATCCGTTTAAACCGTAGAAATAATTCAATGCATATTTGCTCTCACCTCTGACACCATTCAAAAGTATTGTACTAGGGTATCTAAAAGATAGTAATGCTGCGGCACATTTAAAATCTCAGCTCACACAATTGCACCATCTGTTCTTAAACTTTTGAATCTTTCAATGCGCACTAGTCAATTTCCCAAATTGTGGAAATGTGCGAAAATCACGGCATTGTTTAAGTCAGGTGACAGGACCAACGTTTCCAACTACCGCCCCATCTCAATCCTCCCTACACTAAGCAAGATTTTGGAGAGAGCCAGGCGGTGTGCGTCACGAGATTTAACCAATCAGAATGCGTTATTTTCGGAGTAGATTTCGTGCTCGAGAAGAGCAGTTTTGAGAGGTACACGAGTTGAGATTTTCGTCGTTTTTGAAGATTGTAATCATTTTTTCTTAATCAAAATTCGCTATAAAGTTAGCGAATTAATTTATCTTAGTGCTGGTGCAGTTATTTTTTAAGAAGAAACGTTTATTCGGCTTTGCGACCATTTCAAAGGTGACGGTCTCGTGTGAGACGCCATGTTGTTTTGGTTGTAAATTTCACTGCTTTTCTTGGACTTGTAGCTCCTTACTGTTATTGATTGTTGTCAATATTTTCGGTCCGTTAGTGAGTTTAAGTAGTCTTCTTTGACAATTTCCTTGGGTCTACCCGGGTCTACCCCGTCGGGTTTTCCCGCTAGAGGCCGTGGAGGACACACTGGTATGAAGAGATCGACCCAGCCAAGTGGCTCCACTCCCGGGAAACCGGCTGGTAAAGTCAACAGAACTGGAGGTCAAAATAACATCAAATCGAGAAAGAATTTGTTTAATTTCAAGCCAGAAAAGGTAAAAAGAGTCGAATTACACGAATTCCTTCTGATTTTGTATTTGAGTCATTTAAATGGTCTTTTATAAGATACTTATTTGTCATTATTGAAGAATGTTTTTCACGTGTGAATAAATTATACATGTACAAATGTAGCCTCCAACAAGAGATTGGCCAGTATCCATAGATTGTGGATTAGAATCCATTATTTCTTGTAGTTTTACTCAGATAACATTAGCAGTAATTTTATGTTTTCACACTCGCACTGTGATGAAATGAAACATTTGACAAAATTTTAAAAAAAAAATCATAAAATAAAGTGTGGCTTTAGAGATGTTACACCAGCCACCTCCACCACAGGGTTTATCAAGGATGTCTTTTTGTTTGTGTGTTTATATGTAGGTTTACTTATGTTACCATTTATTTAATATCTTCAAGGTCCCTCATCCACCTCAGTCCCCAGTTTGGTCTGTGGAGGAAAGGCGAGCATTGGTTGAGTATATTGCTCTATTTACCCCAGTGGAACAAGATCAATTGTTTAAATGGCCTTCTTTCAAAGACATCAATTTCTGGGAAAAATGTGCAGATGCTCTGGCCTGTACAACTGGAATGCCACGACGATCAGGTAAACATATTTCACTCCAGGCCGTAGTAGGGCATAATTTTTGGTCGGCAGGATAATAATTATATGCAAGAGGTTTGTCCCCTAGTGGCGGTGGTGATAATGATGATGATATTGATGATGTCTGGGTTGTTTGCTCTTAGTCATTCAAAACATCAGCTTTTGAATACATTGATAGTGTGCGATCTCCCTACACAACTCAACTAGTTATTTTATACAATGTAATAACTCTGTAATGAAGAGATTATAACATAGTGGAGCAGGCCTGATAGTGGTTTGTCTTAAAATAGGGTGGAGGGAAGGTAGCAGTTGCTGAAGGTTTTAGTTCAAAAGGAACTTACAGTGGCTTACAGTAAGTGAGGTGAAACAAACCGATTTATATTTTCTTTTCTTTTTCAGGGAGTGCATGCCGTTATCAGGTCAACTCCTTCCTGCGTAAAAGGTATGCAACACTGGAGGAAGCAGAAGATGACCTCCAGGTCAACTATTTTAGTGGTGGATTGCAAGACATTCATTATGAAAATTCATCAACACTAACATCTCCTGGGAATGTAAATTCGACTCCACAGGCGATGCTTGAGAAGAACACCCCATTATCTCCAATATTGGCGCACTCTCCACATGCCAATTCAACAAACCATGAGACATACAATCATGGAGATACCATTGCCAAGGTTATTAAACTGTTGACATTGATGACTTCACGTATGAGAGGGGACTTGATCCAGAACTTATTTTGGCAGTTCATGTTTTTAGAACTTGATCATGATTTTCGAGCATTTATTCCTTCTGACTTTATTAAACTATGCTGCAAGGGCATTAATGTACTTCATAGCAATGGCAAAGAAAATGTTCTTTATTACTTGGCCAGGGGACTTGGAATGTCACGGAAAGATGGTTCAGGTCCACGGCTCCCTATTGACAAGATGCCGTTTGGATTATTAAGCTACAATATTCGCTATTTTGCTATGGACACTGTGAACAACATTTCATCAGACCCCCATTTTGTGGAGTGGGAGACAACTATGTTCTCCAACTTTGGTCATAAATGGATTTGCTTACAGAGGGGACCAGGGTTTGCCTATGATGAGACTGTTGTTGATGATTCCTCAGCTGCAGCTTGTAATAGCACCAGCAACACAAACAGCAGTGAGCAAGGTTCCTCAAGTATCCTTCAACAAGCATGGAATGAAACATTTCAAGTGGGTACCCAGAATGGGGTACAAGATGAGGTTGAAGACCAAGATACCACTAGAGAGAAAGTTGGGGCAGATGACTGCCTTGATGTAGAAACCCTTGTTGACACAGATGACCCTCTTGAGGTTGGAGCCATTGTTCAGACAGGAGATGGGATTGAGGTTGAAACTGTTGTCGAGGCAGGAGACCCTCTTGAGGTTGGAACCATTGTTGAGGTAGGAGATGGGCTTGGGGTTGAAACAATTGTTGAGGCAGGATATGGGCTTGAGGTTGAAACCCTTGTTGAGGCAGAAGACGAGCTTGAGGTGAACGACCAGGTCAATGAAGAAGTGAGCTACCTTTGGGCACGACTTGGTTCTGAAGAAAAAGAACAAATTGCAAACGGCGATAGACCAATAGAACTGGAAACATTTCATGGTATTCGCCCACAGGCACATAAAAAGAAAAGGACAGAAGTGGATCCGATGAAAGCTAAAGTCAATGTTGCAGGTCATTCTGTAAGGACTCTTCAACGTCGTATACAGGCTGCTGAGTTTTCAAGAGACACAAATGTTCAGGTGAGTGCACATATGATTAAATAGATATGAAATATATTTGAAAAACATATATATATATATAATTATACTCCAAGAGCTAGGTTATTCAACATTTACTGCAACTCTGAGTTTCATGCTTCTTGCGAAGCAATCTTCAGGCAACAAAAAATGTAAATGTTCGAATAACCTAGCTCTTGAGTATAATTATTCTTAGCTCTAGCTCTGCTATTGAGCACTTTATAGTAGATGAGGATTTCTTTCCACTTGTTATTCTTTTTTTTTTTTGCTAGGTCGCTGTTCTTAAGAAGATTAAAGAAAGAAACAAAAACGGACGTTGGTGGATTAAAGCAGATGCATGTGACCTGCGAAAGGGACTGCGTGAGTCAATGCGTCATGAGTGGGCAGGAGATTGTGACCTGGGAGATGGAAAGCTTCAAACTTTATATCAGGAATACATGGACAGAAAAACCTTCTATGGTGGATTAGGACTTAAGGATCAAGAGTAAGAATGAAAGAAGATATGGCGCTTTTGTGATTTCTGGTTTGGATAACGATTTAAGGTTTCTGGTTGGTGGAGAGAAAGCTGCAAAAAGACAAGTATGCAGCTAAACAACGTCAGTCAAATGCTTCTGAAGATGGCATGTTTGCATTGGCTTGGGAGTGTGAATGCTTCCAGACTCTCATTAACATTAACAAAGACCTAAAGTCTTCAATTTCCAGCCTGCACTTAAGAATTTCAACAAACCAGAGAGATGGTAATATTGCTGGTGATCTCACTTCTTTACGCCAAAGGCTTCTTTCCTATGCTAAGGATCTTTTTCCAAGCATAGAGAAGCTGCCTCTCATCTCATGGTGTTCATGATAGCCGATGAAAAACGCGACATGAAGCCCTATGCTGTTCCTGTACGATTTATACCTTACCACAGTGTGACTGACAATAAACTGCGTGAACTGTGTATGGAGCTACGGAGTGCCATGGTAAATTTGGGAATGCTTGTGGTTGGTGAGTTAAGATTTTTCTTTAATTGTCTCTGTTAACTACCTTAAGTTTATACAACAGAAAGGGGCTGCTCTGCTGCTTAAAAAGCCACCTTTCTCAGACCAGACTGGCATAGCGCTGAGTATATTGGTACTTTTAGAGTGCATAGAGCCTGTTGAATTTTTAAATAATTGTCATTTTTTACTCAGCAACTGAATGGTGATTTGCATCTTCACCCGCCCACCCCCCCCCCCCCCACCTCCCAAAATTGTAATTTGAAATAAGCCAAACAACAATTTATTTATCTGATTTTTGTTTGTTTTAGGCACTGTCACAGATGGAGAATTTAACTCCATCCGCACTATGGGATCAAAAAGAGCTATTTCCATAATTCAAGTGATGATGGATTCAAAGTCAGAGGCTAGAAGCACCAATGTTAATGCCATACGGAGGTATTTCACACCAGTTGCAGTCCCAGGTAACTTTTCTTTAACTGATGTTTTATCTATGCCAAAATCTGACCACTGGAAATTCTTCACTATCATATGTGTGTGTGTATGTGTGTGTGTGTTGTAGGTGGAAATGAAATTCAGGTTAAAATGATTTCAACCTAGATTGATTTGAATCTCCTTTGTTTCGAAGAGGCAATTCGCATGTATTTTAAAACCTTAACTTTTCTTCCTAACAGGTGCCAATGGGACATTTTCTGTAAGAGGTCAGGCTCAACACCCAGCCATTCCGGTTGAGGACATTGTATGGCTTTATGACTTCATGAATGCTGATGGCAATCAAGTACCATTTGAAAGCGCCATCCACATTTTAAAACGGAAGCTGTTTCCTGCCAATTATGACCCTTATCCTTGGGAGTGTTTTATGAGCACTATTACCCTCAAATGGTACGGCATGAAGTCCAACTACTAATTTAAAATTGCATATTAAATAACAAAATTTAAAAATGAAATTATTATTACATTAAATCTCTGCCTGTGCACGGGCTGTTATAGAGGATCAGTAGGGCCAGTTTATAGGCTACCCATGGCCTAAGGTGCCATGTACTGTCAATGTACCTTTCAGTTCTATTTATCATTTATTTTCAATTGTTTCTTTTCCTTTAAACAGTGGCTGAAGAGGATACCAAAGGTTGTCTTAAGTCTTTGATGGCAACATACTTGTTCCGCTACAAAATAAAACGAATGAAAGAAGAATTAAATGTGGACTTCAGCAAACACCTTTACCAGCCTGAATTGTGTGATGTCACTGGGGAATACATACATGAGAGAGAAGACCACAACCATGTTCTTAAACGTATCACTGAATGTCTTCGTGCAGGTGAAATCCCAGGGGTTGACACCCGCTACTTCAGAGATGCCCTGCATGATGCTCATTCAGGTTAATAACAATTATTTGTGTTGTGTGCGTAGTCTATTAAAGGCCCTTGTTCATCCAAAATGCAATGTGCGCCCAAGCTTATTTTTGCACTGATGGAAAATCTAAAAATTAACGTTCCAGGCAATCATAATGCTACATTGAACAATTGAACCTGTTTTAAAACAAAAACACAAACACACACAGCAGATTGGGTGAACATGTACCTTTAATCATGATGTTTTGATAATAATGATTCATTTGACCCCCTCTGGGTTTAAATGAATTCTTGTATTCATACCTGTGTACTACAGGTATATTGATGACATAGAAAATGGCATTCTGACATTTCTTGCTTTGATTATTTTTGATAGTTCGTGAAAGGGTTAATAGCCTTTTTTTTTTTTTTTTTTCACATTATCCTTATATGAACTGATGTAATTCATTCTAATAATTACTATCCCTTTAACTCCCAAGGGTGCCAAAGAAAAAAAAATTCAAGAAAAATACCAGATTTCATTTTGTAAAATATTGAAAAACTAATGTTTCCGTAAAAATGTACTGCTGAAGAGGTTTCATTTGAATGGTCACACCATACGATTTTGTCCACAGACTCAAAAGTTAGAACTAGTGCTTTACATGTCTCCATAATTATTGACTGTGGAAGTGAAAGGGTTAATATTATTAATGTTCTTGTCATGACCATGACAACAAAATTGCTTTGACCTACCACATGTACATTTTTTTTCTTTCACTGAAAATTTCTCCAAAATACAAAAGGAATTTGCTTACATACAAAATATGTAATTGAGCAGTATTTAAAAAGGAATATCAAAAAGTTTTTGGAAGCCTCAGCAACGGCATTTTTTTAAATACAGGTTTAACTTATGAGGCTTTAACTGGAAAACAGAAACAGTCAGTACCACATTGTGAACAGGTGTTTTCAAAGGGTGTACTGGAGTTCATGCAAAGGAATGGCCATACTTCAGAGGCACACTTTGTTGAAACTGTTCGAAACTGGCATAAGGCGGCAGATGGACGGGGACTATCAGAGGAAACACGGTCAAAGTATAACAATGACATGATCAATTTTCTGTTGACTGATTGGATGCCCTGGCATGAGTAATGAAAGGGACTTTTCAACTATTGATGTCATGCGCCCTATAAAGGGTATTAAAGGTTTCACTAGAGAAATTGTGGTTGCTTTGATTGCGAACTGTGAAAGCCTTGAACTCCGTCGAGCAGAGTATCAAGAGAGGTTTGCCCCGAGCACCCACGCAAGCAGCACAGATGACGTTGAAGGCTTCATTGCACATCTCCATGATCAACTTGGAGATGTGTTTGACCACAAGGAATTTTAGAACAGCAACCCAAAATTCTAAATGAGTTTACCAAGAAGATAGACCCAGAGCTTCAATTTTACTACTGGACAGGACACCGACATCGATTCACAACTGCCCCACTGCCTTCCTTCAATGATGCATCAGGTCAAACAGAAAGATTGGACAGGGTTAGGTTGTCAAGACGTTCTGATCCAGGGGTTTTTGTGGCAAATAGGGCATCCTTGCCACAAAGAAATTCTCTGACAGTCAGGGCTTCATTTCACAGAGCACCAGAACAATTACCTCCACCACCAACAGTGTAGCATAAGTTTATTAACTTATAGTTTTGCATATTGATGTTAGCCTTAGTAAACTAAAATTGGGACAAAGATAATGCACTTTTCTAACTTATTTACATTTACACGTGTAAAGTTTTACTGGACTTTTCTTGAGGCCCTGACAACTTTGGAGCTCCAGGGTCCCTTTTTAGTGATATTTAAGGTTACATAAAAGCCAACTAACAAGTAGTTTACTCTAAAGCGAATCGTGCAACAGTTACTTTGATGTTGTTTCTTTCAATGATAGGGTGTATGTCACTTGTTAACTCTTTGGCAATGTAACCAACTTTGTTCCAACCACTACCACAGTTTATTAATACGGCTATTGCATTTTGGTCATAATCATTTTCAGGCTCTGGTTGGAGCTGCGCTTGTACATCTTTGTTATTTTCCAAACACTCGTATGCATTTTTAAGGATAATTTGTCGCCTTTATATGCAGTACCAAGTACTTTGAAAGGAACAGTATGCTCAATTTCTGAAGAATCGTTCTCCTCATTTGAATCATCAGAATCATCAGCATTAACAATTGAATGATCCTCCGGCTCTACTGGTTCAGACCGTCTAAATTCCCAAATGACCAAATATGTGATGTTTTCAACCACAATGTTACACCATTTTTTTGAGCAATGATTTCATCTGCACATTTTGTCCGTCCACTGTCATCAGCTTGAATAGCGCAGGCCACCCTGTCCTTCTACCAGTTATAGAAACAGTTCCTTTTACAAATTCTATCGTCAGAACAGGGAATGACGGAATAGTCCACTCAATGTTATCTTGTCCAAGACTTGAAACTGTTAATGCCAGGTCTCTAGGCTGCCACAAACCCTTCTACAGAAAAAATGGTTGTAATAAAAGCATTCCTTATAGAGTACTAAAGTGATGACGTCATAAAAATGAAATTTCTGAAATTATGGGATTTGTCAGGGTATTCTGAAAGAACAATGTCCAAGAGACCTACTTGCCAAAAATGAGCATTTTGGGGCAAATTGTCTCTGAGATCGTAGCCCAGTTATACTCAGAAAACTCCTACAAACCCCCTCTAATTTTTTCTTGGGTCGACCCAAAAAATATTTAGAAGGGTTTGTATGGAATTTTGTAAGCATAACTAGGCTACGATCTCAGAGACAATTTGCCCCCAAATGCTCATTTTTGGCAAGTAGGCCTCTTGGACATTGTTCTTTCAGAATACCCTGACAAATCCCATAATTTCAGAAATTTCATTTTTATGACGTCACACCTTAGTACTCTATTTCATGCTGTATAAGTATTAGTATAAATTATGTAACTAAGTGCACTGCATGTGAATAGCTGTGATGAGCAAGCTTGTTTAGTATATTTCAATTAATAATGGTGTCCTTAGTTATTTTTTGTCTTTCTTCAGTTCTTTTTGGATTAAAGGAATGAAGAAGGAAGCATTTTCTTGAGAATTAGTTATTTGTCACATTCATGTGGGATGAACTGAAAAAGGCCAATGTTATAGCACATTTTTATTCCACAATAGAAACTAAATGATTGTAAATAAGCCACTTCTAAAAACAACACATGGTCAAGAGTTTAGAAGGTCACTTGAGACTTCTCAGTATTTTATCTGTAATGTTTAAGTTAAAAGTTTTTCTGAATAAAAAATAGTTTAAAGATGTGATGCATACTCCGCTTTATCAGTTAATAAAATAGAAAGAATAAATTAGTTGTTAGCATATAATTTACCTTGATGGGAAGTGCAAAGGTATTCCTGATAGTTGTGCTCTCCCTGGGATCAACATTACCCACAGCAAGGTTAACTGCATACTCATTTGAGAGAAGGCTAATATGATATTAAGTAATCAACAAAACACAATAAATGGATTATTTTCTATCTTTGAAAAGCTAGTTTTTAAAATGCATAAAATGATTTTCAAAAGACCGTGAAACAGTTACTAAGTTAGTAGGCACTAGTACACACTATTAGACATTAATTCCATGTTTTCTTTCTTTCATTGTTTTCATTGTTTTAGCTAATTTTGGCTAATTTTGATTAATTGCTAGATACTGTTTCACGGTCTCATGAAAATCACTCTAATGAAACTGTACAACAACTGACTATCTGATTTTACACAGTTTTCAGCACACCATCAATTCAAATCCAATTATTGTAAATTATTCCATGTGAATGCCATACAGCAAAAATTCTCAGGCTACTTTTTAAATACTTAATTTCGTTTATGAAAATATTTTTTTAGAATAAGAAATTCTTTTAGAATAAGAAATTCTCTCGCCCAGACAATCATAGCAGATAAAAAACAGTGAGCAAGAGCACTTATAGTGAGTAATTATAATTACTTAAATTGGATACATTCCACAAGGGTTCAGAAAAGCTTCCTTATCTGGTGTTTGTCCCCAAGGCGTAAGTGGCATGGTTTCTGCATTTATAGGATTAATCACTGTCTGGTGACGAAATATTGCCTTGGCCCTTTGAAATCCACTACTGTAGTCTGACGGGGCAAATCGATTTCTCTGTAAAACAGCTAAGAAATCTGTTTTTTCTTTTGTCACGAGCTTGTGGGCAGTATGGATACCAATGCCACGTACATTTTCTAAGTAGTCACAACCTGCAACAATGCACATGTCCAGGAATTCTTCCTGTGTCAGTGACAAATGTTGCAACACCTTTCCTAACTCGATTACTTCACACACACCATCGAGTCGCAACTTGAACAAAACCTATAGATAGATAGGGAAATTAGGGGTGTTCAGGGAAAACCCTTCCTTATTTTTATTCATGGTCTTTTGTGTTCAACGGAGAAAACCAAAGGTAATAGTAATAATAGTATATGCATTTATATTGCACAGGCTTCATGAGTATACCTGTATGATCGCCTGCGCAAAACATTGAGTTCATAAAAATAAAAATGTATACAATTTATAACTAATTCTAAGTGCTACTAATTTCAAATTGATACTTGTACAAATTAATAAAATTGTATAATCGAAAAAAAAAGAACCTAATGACAATAAAAAGAATAAGAAAATGATTAAAAATTACAGAAAGCCTCTAAATTTTTTTTTTCAGTAAAACCTTTAAAGTGTTCAGAGATCTGCTGCTATTTGCAATTGGGTTCTAGTTTATGAAATTAATAGTTACGATATAAAAAGGACTAAAACTATAAACTTATAGTTCATTCTGTTGAAAATCAAGTAAACACAGCCAGGCTTTGAATAAGCATTTGGATGATAAATTGTATGGGTTATTCAATGTACCTTTTGGCATCCATAAGCAAGAAGGTCGGAATCCTCTGAGATTGCAATATCTACATAGCCATGCTCATAAAGTAATGCTATCTCTGCATCAGCCTCGTACGGAGCTACCACATAATCAATAGACTTTTGTCGGCAAGTCTATAAATGAAAAGAATAAAAATTATCTTAACGAGGTCATTCAATTTTTAATTAAAAACAATACAATATTTAATTATTAAGAAGTCTAGAAAAAAATGTATTTTAAGCTTACTGAAATGATAAACTTTATGCCAAAATTGAGACTTAGACTTACTTGAATAAACCCACAGACGAGATCGTGGTTAATTTCTGCAGCTGCAGCCAAAGCGTTTCTTGCCTCAGTCACCTTTCCACTGCGCCGAAGTTGGTCAGCTTTTTGCTGTTGTTGTTTTCTTTGCCTAAAGGAAGAAGATTTATGGGAGATCAATGTCTGCTGAAAAAAATCATTTCTACTAAAGAAAATTAGACAAAAGGCTTAAATATTTGAACTGAGCTTCAACTGTCAATGCAAAAAAATTCTCTCACATTGCTCTGTTATCACGCTCTCTGTCCTTGCCCGGTAGCGGCAATCCGTCGAACACGACCAACGGTCGAATTTTATTCCTTTCCAGTAGATCCAGATAAGAATTGCAGATCTCCTTCACTCTAAGAAGTAAAAACATTAGTTAAAATGCAATACAAATTAAGACATAGTAAAACTTTCATATTAAAAGTTCTCACCTTCGATCGTCTCCGAATTGCGAATAACTGATCGCAATGGCCTTGTGTAACCAACAAGACGCATCTACGGCCGCCACGAGACCTTTAAAACTGTCTAAATAGCTGTTTTCAGTGACGTCTTTCAGAAAAGGAAGCAAGGTTTTAATTCCCATTCTATTGTCTCTGTATGTGCCAAGAGCTCGCTGAGATGTTCACTCGCTGGTGTCAAGCGAGAAATGAGCGCCGCCACATTTTTACCACATTTTTACCCATCACGTATTGCGGGTCGTGACGCACACCGCCTGGGAGAGAGCGGTACACTTGCAGTTGTATCAGTACTTGATTACCAATAATTTATTGTCCAACAAACAGTTTGGTTTCCGGAAGGGTTTCTCAACTACAACAGCTTTGACCTCATTTGCTGATGAAGTGCTCTTAAACATGGAACAAGGAAAGCTTTGCGGGGCCGTGTTCATCGATCTAACCAAGGCATTTGACACGGTAGACCATCAAATAATGTTATGCAAGCTATTCGAGATCGGCCTTTCTGAAACAGCTCTTCATTGGTTCCGTTCTTACTTAACTGGTAGACAACAGCGCACATCATGTGGAAATGAGTTATCTGAGGAACTTCCAGTCACGCATGGGGTGCCACAGGGTAGCATCCTAGGGCCTCTGTTGTCTGTGATTTACATAAATAACTTGCCAAATGTGCTTAACTCCTGCTACGCGTCACTTTATGCAGACGACACTGTAATTTATTGCTATGGTACATCCTCAAAGGAGTTGAGAGTGATAAGTTAAATAACGATCTACTGGGTGTGGCGAAATGGCTTCATGATCACAAACTGACTTTAAATTTGCACAAAACGAAATGCATGCTTATCGGTAGTAATAGGAAACGCGAAAGCAAAGTAGATTTGACTGTTTCAATTTTAGATCATAGTAAAAGTAATGTTCGCAGCTTTAAATACCTCGGTATACATATATCTTCGGATTTCACATGGACTGATCATATTGAACACCTAACTGGGAAAATCAATCAGAGGCTTGGGCTTCTCAAGCGTATAAAGCATTTATTGCCTTTCAGGGAGCGTCTCCTTTTCTATAAAAGTCTTGTTATGCCCCTTTTTTAATATGCTGATCTAGTATGGGGCGATAAACATAATATTACCCTTATGTCTAGTTTGCAAGTTTTGCAAAATAAGGCCGCTAAAGTTATTTTAAATAGACCATTGTACTCATTCTCCACTGAGGCATTAGCCGTTCTCAAGTGGCTGCCTCTAGAGAAAAGGCGATTTCAAAGAAGGTGTGTACACGTATACAAATGCATCAATGGCCTAATTAATCACGATATGGACTTGATTAGACAAGACGTACTTCATAGGCATAATACACGTAACAAAGGCAATTTTAGATTACCACGTGTCAAAAGAAATTGGGGAAAGCAAAGAACACAATATCATGCCGTTTCCGATTTTAACTCCCTCAGTCAGACGATCAAAGACTCAAGGAATGCAAATAGTTTTAAACGTAATGTTTTTAAGTTTTTAATATAGCTACTTACGTTTAATTTTTACTTATACTTATGTTTAATTTTTTATGCATTTTTTGTATCTTTTTAATCCCTTTGCAATTTTATAGCTTTTTTTTTTGTTTTTATAATATATATAGAGAATATTACACGGTGGCGAGAAGATATGAATCTTATGTTCGAGTGGCAAGAACAATATGGTCGTGACTAGAATGGATACTCCAAAATCAGTATCCGCTCGGAGACTGGAACTGAATAAAATTATTTTTCGGCAAATCGCTCCGACTCTTTACGACCTCGTTGTGTTCAAAGAGATAAGTATACAACGACTGAAAAAGGCCAAGATGAGGATGGTTACTCCAAAGTATGGATCAAAGCCTACATAGAGGTTAGTTGTTTTTCACGTTCTTTTCGTAAGAATCAAGTGCAAGGAGCAAACAATGTCTGTTTAATTACAGTACCGCGACTGCCTTGTAAAGCTTATTCATAGCAACGTATCTGTTTGGATACCTCAGAATAAGGTGGATACTTCAGAATAAGAATGGCCAAAACTTTCTGATTATTATTACTGAAGTTCCCAATATAAACATGATTGTTACGTTTACAAAGAGGGTACAAATACTGTCAATTGTTGTGTAATTATGGCTCAGTTAATTCGAAGCTTGCTTATAGGATAGCATGCCAGGGGGTGCCGGGGGGGGTACTCGACCAATATTTGGGTATAGGTGAGCTGCTGAGGGTTTGAAACCTATACCCTGTTTAGGATAACACCCTCAACTTTAGTACCCTGATAGGACAACAACTCCCTCAGATGGGGACAAGGCTATCAAGCACACCTGTCAACTTGTACTTATCTTAGCTAGACAAAGGTGCCAAGAACAATAGCATTTATATTTTATTCCAGTAAATGCTTTGGGTGATGACGTACTAAATATACATTTGCACTAAGACGAAATCAATCATGCGTCAAACACCCTGTTTATAATTAGAACAGACTCGCACAAATCATGCACACTGTTTAGGACAGACTTGCATGAAAGTGTATACCCTGTTTAGGACAGACTTGTGCCAAACTATATACCCTGTTTAGGACAGAGAGGACAAAAACCATACCCTGTCCAGCGGCACATCCCTGTGTAGGCCATATAAGGGAGTACCCCCCACCTTCCGGGATAGCAGACAGTTGTTCAATTTATGGCTCAACATAAACTATTTCTGTTTTCTTATATACTATGGTTGATTTTTTTTTTCATTTTTAAGTTGTAAGTTGCTGCTTAGTTTAGTGTGACAAGAATGTATACTTTATGAGATTATAAAAACCAATTGTTGTGTATTAGGACCCAGACTCCCTCTCGGTAGGACATTGTAACGCCTGACTATAGAATCAGGAACCACGAGTCGTGTAGGCGAAATAAAGCCATCGTCCAAGGTTGAATCCGTTGTAATCTTCCATTATTTGCCGACCAGATCGGTCACAACATTGGCGACGAGGGTAAAACAAGATCCCAAGAAGTCAGCGAGACGAAAAGTTCGCGAGAAACATGGACGATAATGAACGAAACCATATCAAAACATTCGACTGTCATGGGGACCAAAACACGCTTGGCTTGCGATGGAAGCGGTGGCTGACAGCTTTCGAACTATTTGCAGACGGCAAAGGCTTAATTCTAAATGAAGACAACGCGAACAACAGGCAGAGGAGACGTGCATTACTGCTGCATCTCACGGGACCGATGTTCAAGATACTTTTCTTACCCTGCCGAACACAGGAGATGTAAAAGATTACCGGAAAGCGGTCGATGCACTGAACGCATACTTCGCTCCCAAAGTCGACACTACGTATGCTAGACACTGTTTCAGACAGCTAATTCAAGCACCAGGGGAAACAATCCGACAGTTTGCAACCAGACTCCGACGAGCATCGAAAGATTGTGACTATGGCGAAGATACAGATAACCAAATTCGTGATGAAATCCTCTGCAAGTGCACCAGCACGTACATAAAACGAAAACTCCTGGAAGAACGTCAAGGCCTCACTTTAGCTAGAGCGCTTGAAATCGCCCAGAACTGCGAAAAAGTCGACGCACAGCTTGCTGCAATGACCATAGAGGAAAAGGGAGAGAATTCAGCTAGTGTAAACCGCATAGAGGGAACAAAGACGGGCCATGGCAAGAGAAATCAGTCACGAGATACCAAAACCGGCCGTGAGAAAACTTGTTACCGATGTGGTAAAACCGGACATTTCGGTCGAGATTCTAACTGTCCAGCAAGAGGTAAATTCTGCCATCGATGTGGGCTGGAAGGACATTTTCAAGAGCAGTGCAGGACCAAGCAGAAAGGTGAAGAAAAGCAAAAACAAACCAAAGGCCACAGGAACCCCAAGGGAGGTGCCGCAAATATGGTTGGTTGCCACAACGAAGAAGAGGAACCGGGGTATGCTTTTACGGTAGGAGACAGGAATGAGAAGATTGAAGTAACCGTTGGAGGTTGTAAGCTGAACATGATCATAGATTCTGGAGCAAGCACTAACATCATTGACAAGGAAACATGGGAGTGGTTGAAGAAAAACAAAGTGAAGTGTGAATCAGCTCGCTCGAGTAGGAAACTCTATGCCTACGCATCCCAGACACCACTTGATGTGATAGGAACATTCTCCTGTGAAGTCTCTGCAGGAAGCAATACTGCTAGTGCCAAATTTTGTGTGATTAATGGTGAAGGAGACCCCCTTCTGGGGAAGGACACTGCAACTAGTCTAGGCGTACTGAAAATAGGAATTGGCATCGCTGCAGTAACTGCAGACCCACAGACCATTGGTGGGATCCTGCAACAGAAGTACCCAAATGTTTTCAGCGGCGTTGGAAAGTTGAAAGACAGAGCAGTACAGCTCCACATCGACCCCAATGTGACGCCAGTAGCACAGCCGATGCGGAGGACTCCGTTCAGCATGAGATCAAAGTTGGAAGAAAAGATTAAAGAACTCATTGAACTAGACATTATTGAACCTGCACAGGGGCCCACACCATGGGTTAACCCAATTGTTGTTGTCCCAAAATCTGGGGGTGACATCCGTCTTTGCATTGACATGCGAAGGGCTAACCAAGCAATACGAAGAGCCAGACACCCGATCCCTACTGTTGATGAGATTACTCAGAGCATAAGTGGCAGCAAGGTATTCTCCAAACTTGACCTTAAGTGGGGATATCACCAGCTTGAACTTTCCCCAGAATCCCGAGAGATTACTACGTTTGCTACCCACTGCGGTCTGTTCAGATACAAGAGACTATTGTTTGGTGTTAACTCTGCTTCTGAACAGTACCAGTACGAGATCCAGACGGCACTTGCGGGTATAGAAGGGCAAGAGAACATTTCAGATGACATCATCATACATGGTAGAGACCAGAAAGAACACGATTTGCGGTTGGAGAAAGTAATTGTGAGATTAAAGGAACGTGGACTGACCCTCAATGCAGAAAAGTGCCAGTTTAGCATGGATAAACTCATATTCTTTGGCATGGTATTGTCCGGGAACGGGATCAGTTGCACAGAAGAAAAGGTGAAAGCCGTGAAAGAGGCACGAAAACCTCGAACGGTATCAGAAACCCGAAGTTTTCTTGGGCTTGTAAACTACTGTGGCCGCTT